CAGCCCGAGGTCAGTCAGTGTCATGGGGTTCAGCCATCAGCTAACTGAGATCAGGGGTCTTGCATCCTTGCTCTGTCTGAGTCATTAAATGGTAAATACACTATAATGAAATTTTGTTCACTGCAGACATGTTCTGGACTGCTTCTTGATTTCAATTTAATTCAAATGATTTAAGGGTGGTAGACTAGTGACTACCACAGGTGGTCAGTGTCCAAGTTGTGCTTGATCTTAATGTGTTGCTGATTGTATCAGTTGGGGTAAAGCATTGCCGTTGATTTGATGAGCTGTTTTCTCTGATGTTATGAAAATGAGAATGTCTGTGGGTTGTTAGAGACACAGAAGCTAAGGCACAACTATATCAGAAGATTTGGGTGATAATCCAGAGAGTAAACCAAGGACAGTCCGACAACAAAAATTAAAATGAGAAAACACTTAAGCAAGACACGAGGACAGACTTCCAGTTTACCAATGGCAAACAGTAGGGCAAATGAGGATGAAAAGGCTGATAGTGAACCACCAGGACACCCTGAACTCAAAGCACAGGAAGTAACAAAACAGATCAATTAGGCTCTAGAAAAATTCAAAACAGAAATAATTTCCCAGATAACCATAGAGATAGTGAGCAAAATGGAAGTCATGATTTGAGACTCTAGAGCAGAAACTGACAAAAAAATAGATGCGCTCAGGACCATGATAGAAGCCATGAAGGCCCAGCATAAGAAAGTAATGGAAAAAATAAATGCTCAACATAGGAAAGAAATGGAATCCATAAAACAGATTCAAACAGATATCCAGGAGATTAAACACTCTGTTGAAAGTGTATGCAACAGAATAAAAGAATGTAAAGATAGACTCTCGGATATAGAAGATAAGATTGCAGTCAGTGACTGTGAAAAGAGAGGTCTCTTAAAAACAGTAAGAGATCATGAGAAATCGATCCAACAACTCATGGATGATGCAAAGAAGAATAACATAAGACTGATAGGAATACATGAAGTAGCAGGAGAAAATACAAATGACTTAAAAAAGCTGTTTGCAGAATTAATGACAGAAAACTTCCCAAACAGAGGGGAAGAATTTGACATTCAGATAACTGAGGCATATAGGACCCCAACTAGCTACAATAAAAAAAAATCTACACCTAGACATATAATAATCAAGATCCCAGAAACCCAACAGAAGAACAAAATACTACAAGCAGTAAGAGAAAAGAAACAAATCACATACAAAGGAAAGCCCATCAGAATCACAGCAGACTTTTCAACACAAACCCTTGGGGCAAGGAGAGCCTGGAATGAGATATTTCAAGTACTAAAAGAGAACAACCTCCAACCTAGACTGATGTATCCTGCAAAACTCTCTTTCAAAATGAATGGGGAAATAAGACACTTCCACGACAAAGAACACCTGAGAAACTACATGAATACCAAACCAGCACTACAAGCAATTCTAAACAAGATCCTAGAAAAAGACAATGAAGGCAACAACACCATGAGGCCCAACAGAGCAAATCAAGCAGGCAAGGCAAGAAACTAAAAGGAGAAGGTGAAAAAGTAAAAAGAGTCAACAAAAGGCCAATAACATGTTAATAATGTCAGTACATATCAGTTATAACCAGCAATGTCAATGGCCTCAACTCATCGATCAAGAGAAATAGACTGGCAAAATGGAATAAGAAGCAAAATGTAACAATATGTTGAATACAAGAAACACACCTAGTGCAAAAAGAAGCCCATAGACTGAAAGTGAAAAGATAGAAACCAATTCTCCATGTGACAGGAGCCCAGAAAAAAACAGGGGCAGCAATCTTATTTGCAAACAAAGTAAATTTCAAACCGAAACTGAATCTAATATTATTGATGTAGGACGGTACTGTATCATACCTCTTTGAATGTAAAATATCTAGTACCTGCTTTATGATACATAGTAGGGACCATGCTTTATCAGAGCTACATTTAATGATATTACTCTAGAATGTTCTCTTTCCAGATGATGATTAAGAGGCTAATAGAAAAAATGGTGCCAGGTACCACAACAGCAACAGAACTTTGCTGTTTTCTGGATATTATTCTTTTCTTGGTTTTTTTTTTTTTAATGGAATGTGCTGAATGTCTATAATTTTGTTCAGATGACTGCAGAACCTGGAAAAGCTGTTGCTGCTATCGATGCATAACATACTATTATTAGTCTTTATATATATGCACACACACACACACATATATATATATATATTGAATTTTGGGAAACTTTAACGGTGCTGCCAACTTTGGAAAAAGTCATCCCAATTTACTGTGTTGACTTGGCATTGTACAGAAATGGACAACCATATTGGTCTAGAAATGTTAATTTATTTTTATTTTTATTTTTTTTTTTTTCCATGTGTACAGGGGTAACACATCGTACTAAATATGTAAGGTCATATCTACGTGGGTTTGATTACAGAAACTAATAAAGTATTCTCTAAATAATGAAAAAAAGAATAAGATAAGACTATAAGAGCGAGAAGCAATTTAAATATGTTCAGGGACCATTTTCATCTCCAGAATTAAGGATTATTTTGATGTTACATCATTGCCTTTTCTCTTTTACTTTCCTTTTTAGTTTTATTTTAGGATTCCCTATTTTTAATGTTCATACAGAGATTTCTTTAACTGAAATACCGAATAGTTTCTTTGGTGTGAAAAACTATAATAGTACACAGGATCCTAATGAGATAATTAATAATGTGAAATAGGAAGTAAAGGGCTAAAGGTGTAGGGAAAGTGGGAAGGGTGGGGGAAAGGTAATAAGGGAGAGGAAAAAAATATGAGAAACTGAAAAAATGGAAATAAAGTGTTTGTAAATGGGGTGGGGAGGAGGGGGTGAAGGGAGGGCAGGGACAAGGGGAAATAATGAGAATCAAGACCTATTATGTAAAGGTACAGAATCCCAATGATGAATGTAATTGTATTGTATACCTAGATTGTACCAATAAACTCAATAAAAGCATTAAAAAAAAGAAATCAAAGAGTACAAATTCGTTGGTCATAAAGAAAATGCAGATTATTATAATGCAATATTATCATGGTGGTTAATATTATAGGTTCACATAGTTAGGCCTCAGTACCCCAATACTTGTTCAAACATCATTCCATGTGCTTTTCTGAAGGTATATTTTAGGTGATACTAAGATTTAAACCAGAAGATAAAGTAGAATATTTAATATTTTACCCTCCACAATGGGGGGAGGCTCATCTAATCAACTGAAGACCTTAACAGAAAAAGACTGATCTTATGGAAAGAAGGGAGAATTCTGTCAGCAGATGATATTCAGATTGGAAGTGCAGTATCGTTTTTTCCACTTGGATATCTCTGTATATCTTCAAGTCAGAAGCCAGTCTCTCTTTCTTAAACACATATATACCTTATTTGTTCAGTTTCACTGGAGATCAGTAAGACACAATCTATCAAAACAGCTAAAATTAAGAAGACTGACAATGCCAAAGAGTGGTGAATGTGTGAAGTAACTGTGATTCCTATACTTTGCTGCTGGGAGTTTAAATTGGTACAACCATTCTGAATGCTGGTTTATCAGCAGCTACTAAAGCTGAGCATAGGAATAACCCAAATCAGTGTGGCAAACCTATGGCATATGTACATTAGGCTGTTTGTATGACTTGAAAGCTCTAAAAGTTCCTCCATCACTGCCCTAAGTAATTCCACATAAAGGTATACACCATATAACAGATATCCCATTCCACAAAAGATATCTCCATGCTTCTATGCATTATTAATAATGGCTCCAAACTGTAAACCTAATGTCCATGACCAGTGGAATGGATGAATAGTGCTATATTCAAATGATGTACAAACTCATACAATAACTATCTCACAGACAACTTGAGTGAAAGAAATCAGACACATTGGGTGAGTCTGACTAATGATGCTTGAAATTAGGAAAGGGGAGAGGCATACAATATGAGGTGTTTCTGCACTGCACCATTTCTCACATTACTTAGGTATACTGAGAGTGTGAAAATTCATCCATATTGTTCATCCTTGTGCAATTTTCTATATATACTTATAATCTAATAATATAAGCTTATTTAGAAATTATTTCTCTGACATTTATTTGGGGATGTCACCCATTTTGTAACCCCAGTTTTTCTTCCATAAATGTTACATGGATTTAAAGAGATGGTCAATAGGAAAGCTATCTGTAAAGTTTCCACTGTAAATTACAATGTGAACTTCATAGGGTAGGGACTGAATAAATGGAAAGTGAAATACCTCTTACTATGTGTCAGATAATCAACATTTTAATTTACTCTTGCATCTGAGGAAACAAGGGAAAGCAGCTTGCTGGAATAACCCAGTTGGAACTCAGGTCCAGCTCAGACGCTGGTCTCAGGCCCACATTCCCTCTAAGATGTGTCTCTTGAGGAACTGAGCCCTCACCAACACCAGCCAGGCCAAGGCCCTAGAACCCTCTGGTAGCAAAGCATTCTGCTTCTTCCCCAGGGTCCCAGCATCATCTGCTACTCCAGACTGGTCAAGTCCAGGGCTGGATACTCACTCTGAAATCCTGGGCACACCAACCATGGGGAAAACTTTATCTCTCCTCTCCTTCTTGGCTTAGCTCATTTCCTCAGAAAAGCCTACCCCTTCATAGTCTGCTCCTCACCCCAAGTGATGTAATTCCTCAAACTCACACCACTCTGGATGGTGACCTGTCGTCCTCTTCAACTGAACACGTTCCTGTTTTTCCTTCTCCCCAGCTTCCCTTGGTTTCCTGGATTCTGGCAAAGTGGTCCCCACTCCTCGAAGTTCCCTCTTCTCCTAGCTCCCTAACTTGTCTTCTTCCTTAATTCCGTTTCTCTCGCCCACCAATTTGCAAGCCGACAGGCCCCTTAACATCTTAACCCCACTCAGGCTTGTTCTTGACTCAAGCTTGTTCTTCTCTCCCACTCACTGCTTACACAGTGTACTGTCCGGCCATGCACCTTCGTCCCACATTCCTCTCCTGCCTCGGGGGCACAGTGGCCTGACTCCCTCCTTCAATCTCACACTCCACAGCGGTCAGTCTTCAGCTCAGTCCCACGTACCTTCCCTCCCCTGCACAGCCGGTTCAGGCCTCCAACCCAGCCCCACTCCCACCCCCAACCCGCGCACAGTGGTCCGGCCCAGGCTCAGAATCCCCCCCCCCAGTGGTCTGGTCCCCACTCCCGGGGTGGTGGGGGCTGAGAGCCTGGCAGCCTCCTGACAGAGAGCGATGCTGCCGGCAGGCCGGGCTCGGAAGCAGTACCAGGCGCGCTTCATTTACGTGACGCGCTTCGGCTCGCACCAGTGCGGTGGCGTCC